TTCCGATCTGTTCTCCCTGTGCATGCGTGGGTTTTCTCCGGGTACTCCGGTTTCCTCCCACAGTCCAAAAAACATGACTGTTAGGTTAATTGGTCTGTCTAAATTGCCCCTAGGTGTGAGTGTGTATCTGCATGGTTGTTTGTCTCTGTGTTGCCCTGCGACAGACTGGCGACCTGTCCAGGAACGTAAGCTGGTGATAGGCACCAGCACCCCTCCCGACCCCACTGAGGGACAAGGGTGTTCAGAAAATGGATGGATGGATGGATGGTCTCTGGGCAGGTTGATGTAATCAAGAATGATTTATCAGATTATGAATTGGTGAAAAGCCAGTTTTAGTAATTAATCGCATGCATGTCTAATAAGTTATTATACAGATCTCACTAAACCAAAGCAAACCAACAACAAAACAACAAACAATTCACAAAATAATTTCTGTGTCTTCATCAATAATGAGTACAAATCTGTTCATTTATCAGCCACAATTTTTCCAAATGTGCAAATATTTTAAAACTAGAACATGTTATAATCTAATTTGGCAAACTGAGCATCACATATACAATATCACATGCACACCTTCCACATAAGGTCAGCTTCAGCTCTTGGTGTTGACTATATCTCCACATGTGCTGGAATCCATACGTACTCTCATTTGTTCAGTTGCGGTGACTTTTGCTTAGAGCATTTTCCAAGCATAACAAACGTCCTTTGAGTAGTCAGACATTACAAGAGAAATATATTTTTAAAACTATATTTTCAAATTTACAGTGTTGGTACCTAATTTGAAGTTGAATATTTAACTTTTACATTCAATAATTAACCAATTATTAAAGTCATATACAGTTATTTGGTGAGAAATTAAGTCAAGAAATAAAAAAAACAAACATCAAATATAAATACTTCAAAGGACTTTCCAAAAGGAACTGAGTGAATATTAACTCAATAAAAATAGTCTTGCTTAAGAAAGATGGCTTTACCAATACCTATTACTACAATAGTTGCTCAGAAGCAAAACAATAGACAAACCTTGTTGAAATTTTGAAAGGTTAGATGGCAAACCAATAAAGGCTTTTTAGAAGGTTTTTATTGGCTCTAGTGGCCTTTACTTTGCACTTTTCAGAGGAAAGTGGGTTATGAGAGAGGGGGACGACATGCAGCAAAGGTCATCAGGCCGAGATTCAAACCTGTGATGGCGTTGTCGAGGACTAAGGCCTCCACACAATCACACAGACTCATTTCCAATGCTATCAGGTAGAGAAACACACCTGTCCTTTCACACAGAGATGAAGGGACAGGGGGAGGAATAGGCATTTACCCCAGTGCAGCCACCTTGTCCGTTTATAGGTATCTTAACCAGTTCAATCAGAATTGATCAATTTAATTGGACATTTACTTTGATTCTGGATGTTTACCTACCTGGCTTTTTTCCGACAGGTAAACATCCAGGGTCATTATCTCTGCATAACCTGTAAAGCTCAGGCAAACAGTCTGTGGAATAACAACTTTTTGAGTTCTGTCTGATGCCAAGGTAAAGGGTGTAAAAATGTGTGCAAATCATTTAAATTTACAAAAATATATATAGCTACAGGTAGATTGTTGCCTATATTTCTTGCTTTAAATATGAGTAAAGACTAAAACAAGACCTTTGCACGTCACTATGATGTCTATGAGAACTAGTGTTTCCAAAATAAAGGCAATTTTTTTGAAACAAAGGGAATTCCTCCACAAAAGGAATAGACTGTTGAACTGTATTGAAGCCTACACATGAGTTAACCAGAAACATAAATGTTGACAGGATGGTGGGTGGAGAACCAGAAACTCACAGACAACGGTCATTGAGCCTTACTGGGACTCTGAGCCGATCAGCTGACTGGACAGAGGAGCTTGAAAAGAGGCTAAGAGGAAGAGAAGTGGATGGAGGAGAGTATCTGATGGGCTACAGAGGAGGAGGCAGTCAACCCATTTGTGCTACCAGAAGATCCTCATGTGGACAGGTCTCCCTCTGTGCTTTTCAGGATGTCTTCACAGGTGAGCAAAGAACATGCAAAAGTAAAATTTTGAGAAGTCGTCACGTTCTTTCTTTAACAGAGATAGAAGTAGCAAGATATTCCCAGATGCTCTTCTGTTGATGAAGTAGTATTGATGTTGTACAATTAACTTAATATTTCAAAGTAATGACTGAACAAAACTAACCCGATGCAAGATCAGTTCATAGTACACTTCATCTGTCTCAATTTTGGTATTTATTTGTCTGTTTCAATGTTTTCTTCATGTCAAGGTTTCTACAATACATGAGTTTTAGATTTTGGCCTCGTTTTCAGCCTAGTATTATTGGGTCATGTGCCACATTGAAGTCCACCTGCTCCCCATTAAAGTGTCTATTTGCGAGTGAAAATGTGTCGGAGTAATACTTTTGTAATCAACTATGGCGCCATGTATTCTGACCACCATGTTTTACTGTGTCCACAGTCTTTTCTGGATCATAGGTAGAATTAGTTTTCCACTACACTTAAAATTTTGCTTGTTGGTTGTGAGGTTAATTTACAAACCAGATAAATAATAAAAAAAAATACATAAAAAAACAAAAGAACATCCTCCATCTTAAAGAATTAGCAACATTTAATTTTCTCTAGGAAAACAGAGTCACACAAGCCAGTTTCTAACAGGAGTCCCTATGCCAGAAAATGCTTTACTGAGTAGAGTGAAGTCTGTTATACAAATCAACTGGTTTGTTTGCATACCCGGCTATTGGAGATCCAACCCTTATCAGAAAGCCAGAGCCACACCAAGCCGTATGTAACAGCCGCTCTTCTGTGTAGGCTAGATTTGTGAAGTGCACCATTTATAGCTGTCCAATCAAAAATGTATCTTATATGACCTGTGGATCTCTGCTGCTCCTACATAGTCACCATATTCTTACTTCATACTCATAGTTGGTTCTCTAATTAAATCAACAGATTTAATAGAGAATCTGGCTGTAAGTCTGTGACCCAAAAACTTACAGCCAGACCTGTAAGTTTGGGTCACAGCTGTTAAACTCTTTTGCCAAAGGGCCAGTGACCTGCAAACTTTAGGTCTGTCTCTGATTCAGAACACCTGAATAAAAAAATTAATTTTTAACATCACACTGTTGAACTTGACTTCAGACTGAAGACGCACTTTTGGTGTTTGAGTCAGGTTTGGTGAATAAATTATATAAGCTGCAGTAAACAGCCCCTAATGACTATAATTTAGCACTCTTAGTTTAGGCGAAAGGCCTGAACTACGAGTGGGTAGGTTTTCAAATAGTCATAGCCTTTTCTTTTTTCCGTTTTTTTTTTTAGCAGATAATGGACTGCACATGGCTGTGTAAGATATTCAATGTCTGAGATATTGTTTTAAAACCTAACCATGATTTAAACTTTATAATTTTATTCCTGACAGGCAAGGGCGTAGGAACAAGTTTATCATTGGGGGGGACGCATATCAGAAACCTGACAGATCTGTAAATAGATTGAGCAGAAATGTCAAACAATGGTGTCATCAACGCATTACTCTATGACCCCTTGTAATGCGTAATCTGACGTGTTACTACTGATCCAATAATCAGATTAAAGTTATGTATCCAAGTCACTGTGCGTCATATTTGTAATTCTTTTTAGAAAACACATATTGTTGCTTTCTTCGTTTTCCTTGGGGAGATACATTTCATGTGTAACACCAGCATAGCCGTGGGAACAGGAGGGGATATTGGAGGCAAGCGAATCTGTTCCGCCCAATAATTTCCTTTTTGTTGTTCAAAGTGTGAGTAATGGCTACACAACACCTGATCATACTCAACCACTTAACATGTATATTATATTATATATTTAGGAGAATGGCAATGCTAGAGTATAAACCGGTTTTAATTTTTAAATAAACTAAACTAATTTACTATGCGAAGAGCAGGTTAGGGAAGACATAGGAGATTTTCAGAGTGTGAAGATATAAAAAAAAACATATAAATTTTAATAGAACCAGAAAGGAGAACAGGTGAAGACTGATGTCAGGTTGATTTTTTTGTTCCTACGCCCTTGAACACCAGCAACACAAACGTAAACGTTGGAGGGAAAATAGAGATGCACATTTTCTAGCTTATGGATGAATTTTTCATTGAGTAATCAAGTTACTTTTTCAAAGTAACTATGCCGTCCCTGGTAATAAATGAACTACACTTTAAATCATATGTGTGTAGGCCTGTCACAATAACAAATTTTGATGGACGATAAATTGTTCCAGAAGTTATTGTGATAAACAATAATATTTCT